AAGAAGTTTACTATAAGCTAATAAAAATATAAATTTAAAAAACTTATCAAAGCACGACAAAAAAAAGATAACGAAAAAAATTTCAAGAGAACTCAATAACTAATCTGAATCAATAAGTCAAACACATGACATATAACATGAAATTAGAATGTCCTTATAAATAGGAAAGCAAAATAAAAAAAATACTGTTGAATTTTTTTTAAATGATTTAAAAAAATTAACTCAAACTAATCCTTCAAATCTATTACCTGAATCGTGAGACTGAGGTTACTCCATCAAAGGCAAACTTGAACAAATATAAAAGTAATATTCTTAATCAAGCAAACATTAAGGAATGAAATTGATAAATAAAAAATCAATTCAAAACAAAAAAAAAATACAGTAATTAAAAGAATTAGAACTAAACTTGACATAAAAATTAAATAAAATTAAATTTCTAGAAAACAAAATAAATGAAATTAAATGTCTATTAAGAAAATGATTAAAATAATAGTAATTAAAATAATTAGGATAAAAATTTACACATAAATTAAATGAAAATAAATGCTTGGGTGTGGAATTGAAAAAAAATCAATAAAAAAATTAATATTAATTAAAAAAATGAGAACTAAATTTGAAAACAAATTAAAAAAATTCAAATAATCATGGATTAAATGAAAAATAAAATTCAATTACAAACAATCAAAAACTTATAATAAGAGAAAAATAATTGAATCAAAAGAAAAAATAAATTAAATGGTTAGTATAAATTTTTGAATAGCTAGCATCCAATCCAAGAAATGATGGAAAGGAAAAGAAATAATAATAAAAAGTTATTTCATGCCAAACCATACTAGAACAACATATACATGTCACCATAATAAAAAAGGATATTGGAATAAATCAAATGATATGGTAGAGTCGTAGTTACAATCACTAAAGTTAGCAACATACTATTAAAAAGCAACAAAGAGGTTAACACATACAAGATACGCACCATCAATTTTTTTGTTTTGTAAAAACTAAAAATACCTTTAGGATTAAATAATATTAACAGATAAACTATAATAAAATTACAACCAAACCCCTAAAAGTCAAGGCTAAAAAATTTCAAATTGTAAGGTAATGTAGTAGTTCAACTATTCTATAAAATTTTAAATATATACAGCAAGTATTTAATTATTTTATTAAAAGGTTATATTAATAATTTTACTATTAAAAAATTTAATTACTAAAATAACTTCACACAATCCTAAAAAAATATTTATGTCACGATGAAAAGACCTTATTAGCTCTAAAATCAAGATAAAAAAATAAAATAACCAAGGAATAAAAAAATCATAAATATTATTATCCAAAATACTAATTTTCCTAGTGGTTTTATTGTCCCCCAAAACACAAGCTACTACACACACAAATACATATATAAAAATATTTTTATTATTTTTAGTTATGGGTATAATTTGTGCATGACCTTGTTTATATAAACTATTTGATTGTTGAATAATTTATCACGGCACGTAAACGGGATAACTAAAGTTTTTGGATTTGTAAAAGTAATTATCAAGATTTAATGTTAAATTACGGTGTTTGATTTTCGTGAGATACTAAGACTTCTATTTTTATATCTGAACACCTTTTTTTTAATTTAAATTGTAACCATTAATTTAATTATCATCTTATACACCAATACATTTTTAAAATACAAAAATATTTTAGAACTTTGGTTGTTGTTAATAATACAAGTTATATGTTAAATAATAATGTTTTGGTGTGTGTATACATATTATTTATTGTTATTTTTATTTATTTTTGAAGATGCTTGGCCCAGCTTTTATTTTTGTTTTTAGTATTTTTTTATAGTGTTTCTAATTTGAAAATATATTAAATTAATATTTTTTATATAGTTTTAACTATGCTATGTTAAAAATAAAAAAATTATTTTAATATTTAAAAAAAATATTAAAAAAAAACATTAAAAATACAATAGTCGATCACCATCTTAAAGGTTATCTCTACCTTTGTTTTGTCATAATGGTTCTGCCATAGCCTCAGAGGACATGCCTCCACTCTTTCTTCCTAAATAAATAAGCTCACCTTTTTCAGTTCATTCTAAACTGGCCATGGTTGAGAAATTATTCAATATATTAACATTAATGAACTTGTAGTAAATTATATTTTGCACGTGCTCATTAATTGAGCTTGCATGGTATGGTGGATCTTGTCATCTAGAATATTGGGAAAGTCTTGGAATAAAATGCAGCACTGATGATTTAACAGCCGTCCACCTAAATAATAGAAAATTTCTTTTTATATTCTTTAACAAAAATAAGATTATTCTCAGATTATTTTATATATAAATCATCACGATTATATCTTAAGAAAATACTTTAAAGTTATATACTTTATATTGATTTAGTATATTTTAAAAAACAAATTTTCTCGAATGCTTGTCTTAAAATTTAAACAAGTTTTTGAAGCATTTGGAAATAATTCTTATTTTCTTATATAATTTCGGATCACATTCAAAATTAAGAAGAAGAAAATCCATCTAAGCAGTTAGCATTTATAAAATACTGAAGTGTATAGATGACATTTAACGGTGCCGTATTTGTGATCAACCAATGAATTCATCGTCAGCACTACATGAATTTATGATCTCCTTTAAAGGTTTGGATTTCTATGATTGTCACTGGATAACCAGCTACCTTTATAAAAAAATTATCACCATAAGTGTAGATTGAAGGGTGAGATAAAAAACCAATAAAATTTTCTTGAAATAATTAAGGAAAAAAGAAAAGAAAAAAGAAACCCAAAGAACAAGGACAAAAAAAAAAAGGAATACATGAAAAAATAAAATTAAATGACTAAATTGAAAAGGAATAACACTTATTTAAAAGGACACTAAAAAAAAGAATTATAAGAAAAAATTGAAGAAAAAAATAACTAATATATTAAAATGCATAATCCAAAGTCATCTTAAAATAACTAATATATTAAAATGCATAATTCTATTGTTGTTAAATTATTATTATTGTTATTATTGTTGTTGTTATTATTATTATTTAGATTATTATTACTATTATTATCACAATAATCACTATTATAATTACTATTATAATAAAGTACAATTGTTACGGTAATTATTAATACTATTATAGCTACTTATAATAGTATTAGTATCATCATAATAATTGCTATCATTATTAATATTATTATTTTTTTTATTATTATTATTATCATTATCATTATTATAGCTCCAACTACTGCTATTATTATTATCGTCACTACTATTATTATTATTGTTGTTATTGTTAAAATAACAAAAATTTTAAACTTGTTTTCAAGGGTAAAATTGCTAATATTATTATTTATTATCACTTTTATTATTAGTAGCATTATTATTATCATGTTTATATTTATGTTCATCATCATCATGTTTATATTTATTATTATCACTATACTTATCATTATCATTATTATTATCGTTGCTATTGCTATTGCTATTACTATTACTATTACTATCATCATCATTATTGTTGTTGAAAAAATAAAAATTATAAATTTGATTTGAAAAATAAAATTATAAATTATAAAATCTTTGACAAAAGGGTTAAGGAAAAAAATTAAAAAAAATGATCAAATTAAAATTGTTATTATTACTGAAAAAACAAAAAAAAAAACACTTAAACTTGACTTCAAGAATAAAATTGAAAGGATAAGAACATGGACAAAAGAGAAAAGAAATAAAATAAGAAATCAAAAGTAAAAGGATGAAATAAAAAAAATATTATATATACAAATTAAAACTAAAATATTAAATTAAAAAATAATAAAACTTTTTTTAAAAATAAAATAAAAAATCAAAATTAAAAGCATCAAACCTGAAAAACTAATAAAAATAAGGATTAGAGTGCGTCTCTACACGCAGAAAAAAAAAATGAATAGAAAAAAAAACCTATCAAGTATATATCTTTATCATTATCATCACTAAAATATTTAAAAGTGTATTAATAATTATTTTTTAAAATATTTTTTAAAATTATATTTAATATTAATACATTAAAATAATAAAAAAATATAAAAAAATTAAATTAAAAAACACGGTTTAAATTGTGTTTTCAAATACAACGTAAAATATCCAGCTTATATATTTGGTCCATGGGGGTATAGTGGGAGCTCCACTCAATTGTGTCTCTTTGGTAACTGAAATGACCAAGATATTCATGTCAGAGCTTCTGGAGAACAAAAACATTAATTATCTTTGATCTCAGCACTTCTCCCCTCTTTGTTTGGCTTCTGAGGGTGATCTTTCAAACATCGTATTTAAATTAAATGCATTAATTTCTTGTGGATAGTTCCATTTATGGTCTTGAATCATATATATTCTAGGGATTTTTTTAAATATTATACTGTTATTAGAAAGCTTTTGATGTTAGAAAGCAAAGCTTTAATTCCTCCTAGAAAACATTACTTAATTTGATATGTTTATAAACGAGGACAATGGCATCTTATGCTCGTAGCTCATTGTGAGTAGGTGCAAGATTTTTTTGCTAGAGATGTGCTGATGTTTTTCAAGAAACATATGAACATATATAATCCAGTGGATTGTTTCCAACCTAATAATATTTTTTTTAATCTGTTTTTCCCTTTCACACAGGAAACAATAGAAAGTAACAATGAAGATCAGAGCAATAAGGGCTGTGTTTGTACGATACTTTGACATCTATTTCATAGCATTCTTCTTGTGCAAGTTTTAATGAGTTAGTGGGTTAATTTGATAAGTTATCGTGACAGGGATTCGATTCGGAAGGGGACATGCGTAATTGTATCACCACACGATGCACCTAGCTCCGCTGTGATGCTCGCCTCGAGCAGAGCACCGGAGGAATCAACAATGGTGGAGTACGATTCTAGAGTGAGAGTCCCGGTCCTGAATCTATCGATTGAGTTCGATTCCGATATCCCTCTTGCTTGGTTGTTTGAAATGGAATCTCGGCGAGCGAGAGCAAGGGCGAGGCTGGGAAAAAAAGCCAAGGATTTTTAGTGCCACGAGCATCATCGGTTGCCATGGAAGACAATCCCGGAGGCCAATAAATTGACAAACATTAATAAAAACACCAAGATAAAAATAAATAATTAGCACGGATACAAAGAATGCAAGTTTTAACTCAAAGCCCTCGAAGATCAATGACTTGGCTATGGTGATTAAAATGCAAGCCGAGCCAGTCACATGAGAAGGCATTGTCAGCACTATGATCGAAGAATGTTTATAAGCTTCATACTGCTATCAAATACCTCTTGGAGGTTTCTCTAACAGTGCAGAAAGATAGACCTCGTCCTTTGATTTAGGAGAGATTGCCCACCTGTGTTTCTTGTACCTGAACTGAAGAAACATGTACATATAATCATCCAAGTCCTTCCTGTTGCAAAAGAACCTGTCAATCCATAACAATCCGCCTGGCCTTAAAATCCGATCCCAGTCAAACAAGATGAAATCCATCAACATCAGGTCAATCCAGCCATCCATAAACCCAGTGGTATGAATCAAGTCCATTGTGTTATCGAAGAACGGAAGGCGTTGGTTCAATGTCACATACAAAGGAACCAAACCTCGAAGTGCAATCATCTCGTTGAATGGCGCTCCAAGGTTAAGTGCAGTTGAGACAACTGTGACATTCTGCTCTTTCATCCTGGCAGCAAAAGTTCCTGTTCCAACTCCGAAATCCAGACCGATTCGTATTTCTCCAGGCTTGATCGCCAAAACATCTCTGATCAGAATATCGACAGGGAGTGAGCTATTAGCGACCCACTTCAGCTTTTCCTTGTCCATTTCGAAACAACCAGTGCATTTTGAATAGCCCCTCTTCGGATTCTTGCTTGATAAGCATTGAAAATTCCTGCATTGGTAATTGCTCCACCTCACATTTCTATCATCTGGCAGTCTCCACAAGGACTCATTGATGGGGTATGGCTTCTGATAGACCTTGGAGGCCCTTGTCAGGCACCGTCTTCGTGGCAAGGGATCACATCCACTGACCATGAGCTTCTGGGATAAGCTCCAATCATCTTTACAGTAAGATCCAATGTCGTAGTCCATGTACTCTTCCAATTCTTTCTTCATCAAAACACAGGCATGCCCTATCGTGTTATATATCCTCAGAGTCCCGTATATGTTTGTATTCCCGACTCTATTTTCTTTCGGAGTAATGTACTTACGAATCTCCTCAACAACAAAAGTGTTAATCAAAGGCTCCTCCTTCATTGTTGAGTTTCTAATCCCCTCTGCTTGAGGTAGTCGAATCTGCCGAAGAGCAATGTGAGCACCATAAAGAGGCCTGATCACCTCCTGCTCCAAAAACCTCTTGTGCTCCAATCTTGTCATTGCAGTTTTACCCAAATCAACCTTATTCTTCTCCATTTCTTGCACTGTTTTCTCCAGCTTTTCTTGCAGTTTATCCATCCTATCAAGCACTTCTCCAACTCGATCGTTCAACGCTCTTATATCAAACCCATCATAAGCATCACCGACATGATAGAAGTGCTGGCATATATCTTCATGGTGAAGGAAAAACCCTGCATTATAGAACTTAAAGAGACTGGCTATGCTTACAACAATAACAAGACCTCCCAACATGATTTGAAGCCATCCTAGTATTCTTGCCAGTCTACATTTTGGAGAACATAACCTCCCCATCCTTGATCATACAAGATCTAGCTAGCAACTATGGTCTTGTTTTCACCAAACGCTACTTCTTCCTCTCCTTCCTTTGGATCGGCAACCTATATTTAAAGTCTCAATTCTTAGGATCAATTATAGAATCAAAACTAAAATATATATATAAAATATAGAATCAAAACTAAAATATATATATATAAAGATTTTAGATTTGATTTAGATTTCAAATCTAAAATATTTTCCATCATTTTAGAGCATGAAAGATCTCCACTCACCTTAGCTGAAATCAAGTGTCTGACTGGCTATATTTAACTTGCTATCTTACCACATTGTCATTTAACAAAGATTGAAAATAACATGGTTTAGTACATTTTCCTTCATATTCTCAGCAACCAAAAAGAAAAAAATTATAATAATCTAAATCAAGAAGCTTAACACTAAACTTTGTATAAAGTCCTAATAAAAGCAAACAGAAATAAGACATACCCAGATAAGAATTTGCAAGGACAAGAGTGAACACAGAGCTAAATCTCTTTCCCTTCAGCAGATTTGCTATAACTCTCAGATATTCAAACCTTCTCTTCCCTCACTGGAGGCAATCTTTCTCTCACTAAAATTTGATTACCATCTCCAAGTTGTGCTTAAAAATATATCTACGCAATGTAGCTTGAACCGTTACTAAAGGAGCTTTAGAGCTGGAAAATCGTAAAGCTTAAGCATGTAAAAAATCCAAAATTGCTTGTTAAGCACCTGAGGCGATAAGAAAGCACGAATCTCGTTATCGTCATGAAATTCTAGGGAAGATCAAACTGCATAATTTTATTTTCTTCGACGTAGTTGTATAGTTTAATAATTAATATTATATTTTTATTTATACGGTCCATAAACGACTAGAACTAAAGCTTTGACTATGATGTTTTTGGTTTTCTATTTACATGGCCAGCTCCCATTGCGGCAACTTGATTACAGTTGTTTTTTCGTGTTCCACTGCCATCTAACCATGGATGGCAACATCGTAACCAGCCAGGGCCAGACCATAACCATGGATGGCAACATCGTAACCAGCTGACGTTTACGATGTTTAGGACATGAGTTATTGAGTTGTCGCGTCGATTTCGAGTCAATTGTTTTATTAAAAATATCATTTATTAATTTATTAATAAATTTATTTTGGAGTTGACGTGTCCTAATATTACTTGATTGTATCTAAACTAACTAAGTAGCATGTCAACACATCAGATGATTTGAGCTTGATAAAATAAATATCTAAAATAATTTAAAATGAAACTCAATTGAGTTACTAGTAGGAATACCTGCAACCTACACATAGTTTAATAACTATTAGTAATATATGGCGTAGACAAAACATAAAGAGTTTTTTTTTAGATTAATTAAAACTTGTGGATTGGTTTTTGTAAGTTAAAAATTATATAAACTTTTAATAATTTTAAAATTTGTGAGACTTGAATTAATAATATTTAAAAAATAAATTTACAATATGATCAATTAAGTTACCTTTTTTAAAATTAAATAAAGAGTTTTATCTTATTAATGGGGAAGGTTGGGAATGCATTTTTACGCTACTAATGTCTTGAATTATATTTATTTTTTATTATATATAAAAATTTATTATTATTTTTAAAAAAAATATATTATAAAGAATAAAAAGAAAGATGTAATCTGATAAATTGAACAAAACTTATCTAATAACTATAACTCTCTAAAATAACGTATTTCTTAAACTCCATTTCACCTTAAAAAAATTAAAGATTCTGTCCCAAAGTTGAAAGTGATTTGGGCACGACGAGTTTATACAACGGGCAAGGCCACACACAGCAGGTGGCACCACTGCTGACTTTTTGTCCGTATACTAGACTCTAGTTTTAATCGACGCACCATCGACCAATAAGGCGCTGTTTGGCTTCGTGACTGGTCGCATGTTTATAAAACACAATTGATTTTTTTTAATTTTTTTAATGTTAAAAATAAATTTAAAAAACTACAAGAACAGTATTTTCAAAAAAATAAATAATAATCACCGTGCCAAAGACTCTTGTCATGGAGCACTGCCATCATACAATATCTTCCAAAGCAGATATGCAAGCAGGGAAAATAAAACACGGCATCAATTAGTGATTGATGCCAAACAAATCACAGAAATAGTGTTGCCAGGACAAAGTTCACACGGGGTTTGGTCGCCAGCTGATCGGTGTCCTGTCCTGCAGTAAACGGCACCGAGATCTGGTGTTATCTGGTTCGTCCGAATGTGTTAATGATTTATTTTTAAATATTTTTTTTATTTATAAATATATTGAAATAATATTTTTTTATTTTTAAAAAATAATTTTTAATATTCACATATCAACCAAACAATCTAAAAATATTAAAAAAATTAAATTTAAACAAAAATATTAAATTTTTGTGGTGCACGCGTTCCAAACCGTTACCAAGATAGCTTTTTGATTAATTGATAATTGTCGGTATAATTGGATTTGATATAATTAATGTGTTTTTGGAAATCTATTAGCTTGTACTATTATAATTTTTTTTAAAATCAGAAAAGCTATAAAATTATAATTTTTATTAATTAAGATTTGTTTATAAAAAATCAGCGATACTTGTATAATTAATGTGGCCAACCGCGTGCCAAGAAAGCTCGAATTGAATTCCCTGGTACTGTTTGCTAGTGTACAATTGTGAGAAATTTGTTTTTTGGGGCACCCATTTTGCTCTTGAATGAGTGCTCGATGAAGAAAACTACAACTTTTGAAGATAAAAAGCTTGCTTTACTCTCTCTCCCTTGAAAAAACAAAGAAGAAGAAGAAGAAGTTTTGCTACGTCCCATCATTAAAGAAAAAAAGAAGTTAAATGGCAAATGGGTTTAAATTGGATTTTTTTTCCTTTTTTTTTTATATATAAGTGATATTTTCCGACCGGTTTGAACATTTATTTAACGTAATATATATATATATATATATATATATATCAGGATGTATTCAGAGATTTTTTTTTCCAAATATTAATTTTGAATTTAATAAAGTAAAAGAACAGAGCAATTTTTCTGAAGAAAAGAATGATACGAGCTCTTGTAAATTATTTTATATTTATTTTTTAAAAATTTATTTGAAAGTGTAATTATAGTTATTTTTTAAATATTTTTTTATATTAAAATATATGTTAATAATTTTTTTTTATTTTTAACAACAACACATCAAAATAATTTAAAAACACTAAAAATATATTAATTTGAAGTAAATAAAAAATAAAAAATAAAAAAAATTTAATTTTTTTTTTTAAAACATAGAGATAAATAGCCATTATCAACCATGACTAAATTACTCCTAATTTCCCATCATACAATTCAATTACTATGTTAAACAAAACTATTTCAGTATTATCTCCAAAAAAAAAGAATATATATATAAAAAATAATAATAGCGATAACACGCAATCGACCCAGTCCCCACGTTATAAATTAATTTAGAGTCAACTCACGTGTAGTCTCTCCTTTTTATTTTTGTTTTTCCTTTTTTTTTTTTAATCATGCTGGCTGGGTTTAGTCACACCAAAAATGAATCAAAATGCCCTTTTATTTTTTTTTTAAAATAAAATTCACATTTGACAGACTAATGAAACTTTCCAGATTAGACAGCTCAGCAGCCAGCAATATATGCATTGATCAAATTAACGGGTCTTAGGTATAAGGTTCATATAAACCCAATGAATCTGACTTATTAAAGGGTGGATGCCAAGCTTTTCAAACATAATAATTAAGGACATTTTTTCCGTTCAATATATATATTTTTTAAAAAATAATCAATATTCATGAGATTTTGATTGCATTAAATATTTGTAAGCAATTTATTATTTTTTTCATATTAGATACATTGAAAAAAATTGTCAATAATTTTATAAAAACCTTTTACTTTTTTTTTTCATATTAGATACATTGAAAATAAATTGTCAATAATTTTATAAAAACCTTTTATAATAATAATGTAATTTAAATATCATGTTAAGCTTTTTTAAAAATAAAAAAATTGAAAAAAAATGATTAGGCGCTTGAGCCAAAGTGATGAGCCCCGCATGTCTGCCGTTCAATTTTGTTTTCTCAAGGTTGGATAATATATTATCCATCCTTTTATTTATTTTTAAATAAAATAAATAATATGTAATTTATTTGTCCTGATTTTGTTCATCAAGAAATTACTGGAAAAATAAATTTAGATTTTTTGGATTTGAAAACTTTTTTTAATTTGTTTTTATCTAAAAATATCTAATAAACATTCTTTGAACCCCAATAAAATAATTTACTAACTCAACCTTTAAATCAGTTCGACATAAACAAAATGAAACAAAAAATCTAACCTTGATCCACTTTATCAAGCAATATAAAAGTTTAAAAATATATTAAAGATACCTCTTTGATCAAGAGCAATATATTGCCATCAAATTTAGTTTTTTTTTTGCTTATAGAATCTAAACAACTGATCATTTTTTTACTTTTTTATAATTTTTCAGTGATTCTTTTTCTCTTGTATCTCAACTTCATGCATTATAATATAAATAAGATAAATTTATTGATCAAAACATAAAAATTTTAAAATAAAGGGATGAAAATGAAATTAAAAAAATTATGTATGGAAAATTTGTTAGAAATGCCCATGATAAATAACAGTAAAATAAAAAAACTATATGTTTTTATTTTTTCTAAAGTAATAAAACGAAGTTCTTTTATGCATAATTAAGCATTAATTAATTATTGAAATATTTTTTTATATCATAACAACTCTATAAAAAGAAAATTTTTCAGTTCAATTATCAGGGACTAAAATATAAAAAATAAAAATAAAAAATAAATTGATGATCTAAGTAGAAGAAAAATCAAAAGGAAAAAAGAAGAGGCAAAACACTACTTTAATTCACAAAGATTTATAAGAACAAATATGAGTTTTTTGGCCTTCTCTTTCAGATTTTCTTGTAATGGTAATGTAATTAAAATGTCAAATTTAAAGAGAACAAATCTCTCCTATAAAAATGATTTTTTTTCACTAATATAGCTAATTTAACAGTTACTTATTTAAAATTATTTAAATCTTATAATTAATTCTAAGATGGGTGTCATATAAATGAGCAGTCGCACGTCATAGGCTCATAAACTATTGTCTATCTGAAATGTGCTAATGGTTAATTTCTTTAGAATTAATTACAACGTAAATAACCTATCTTTAACTAAATTTCAAAGTCAATATAGCTATTAGGTAGATTTAATTGCATGTTTTTGACTGCATAATACCACCTATAATATTTAAAAAAGAAAAGAAGAAAAAGCCCCTTGATAATTAATCACACAATTTCACTCCTCATGTAATGATTTTGAGTTCGATCTGCTTGAGATGAATGAAGCTTTGGATAAGATTATAAGTACTGAGATTTATAAAAATAAAAATAAAAATTATTATACACACACACAATAGCTAAAGCTTATAACAATCTTCATTTTATACTTGAGTCTTTTATTAAACAGGCAATTTTCATTTCAAAAATATAATAAATAAATAAATATTATTTATTTTTAGGGTCTTTTATTATGAAGCAAGGGCTTTAGATACTTAATAAATTAGATCCGGTGGTTAAAAAGGTTTATTTTATATTATAATTTTTAAGATTTAAATATTGAGATTGTCGGTATTAAAAAAATATTAAATTTTCTCTTCGTTAACACATAAAATGATTTGAAAATATCCTTATCATAAAAAATAAATTAAAAATAAAAATAAAAGAGAGAGACCATAGATCTATTGGAAAAAAGGAAG